CTCCCTTCCTTCCTTCCTTCCTTCCTTCCTTCCTTCCGCCAGACCAAGCTTGTTCTCCTCTCCGGGCCATTTTATCTGTGGTTCCTTCTGCCTAGAAAGTTCTCTCCTGCATGGATAGTTGCTTCATATCCTTTAATTCTTAGCTAGGTGTCGTATCCTCAGAGAAGTCTTCTCTGCCCTGGCCAGGTGGCTCAGCTGGTTAGAGCGTTGTCCCAATACCCCAAGGTGGCGGGTTTGGTCCCCTGCCAGGGCACACACGGGAAGCAACCAGTGAGGCATAAACAAGTGGGACAACAAACCCATGTCTCCCTCTCTCTCCCCCCGTCTCTCCCTCAAATCAGTTTTTTAAAAAAAGAAGCCTTCCCTAACACTATCTCCACCTGTCACGGTATCACATAACCCTGTTTGATTTCAATCATTCTACTTAGCAGCACTGAAAAATATTTTGCTTGACTTTTTGTTTAATTTCTGCTCTTCTCCTTTGCCCCTCAAATCGGATGTAAAGCTTTATAAGGACAGACTCCCTGCCTGCTTCTTCCTATGGTTATCTCTAGCACCTAAAGCAGTGCTGGCATGTAGTATGTTATCAATTTATGTTGGTTGAATAAAAAGTAAATAAAAACATCCATTTTTAGTGAAAATAGTGTAGCTCCCATGCTGTAACTGAATGTGTTTTATGGTAAATCTTTAAATCCCCTCTCTTTTACCTCTAGGACACCGCCCTAGCTAAATTATTTCCTGTCTTATCCACAAAGTTACAAACCTATAGACTAAGACGAAGCTATGGAGACAGTAAGAAGACTCGCAGTTGTAAAGGGCTGGAAGAGGTAGGGTGAGAGGGAGATAAGAAAGTGGCACAGGGGAATTTTGGGGCAGTGAAACTATTCTCTGTGAAGCCAAATCCAGGGTTTACGGTGGTAGTGGTAACGGCAGGCACTCTAAAATGAACAGCTTGCTTGTTCAACCTAGACTCAAGTTGCTTAATGTTTAGATTTCTCAAAAATGGTAATGAACTGTATATATGCCATCCAAGAGGAAAAAGTTGTAACCACTAAAAAAATACAGGATATGTTTAGAGTAAAAAACAACTTGAACTCACTTCTGAGCAGATGCAAATGTTTGGATTATTTCAGTATCAAAAGAAGTGAATCAGGAAACCAGGTAACCTACATTTATT